TCTGTCTCTCTCCTGTCTTTCTCTGAGTCTAGGAGTTTCTCAGCTCAGGGACCCTGGATCCAAAGAATGCCATTTCTTCCCATCTATAATTGATTCAGTCTGGTTCTCCCTGTGTCTTCCCAAACAGCTCGCTTTAAGCCTAACAGGATGACAAAACTGATCTATCCCCTTCTTAGGATTCCATGTACTTCATTTACATGTTCCTGCCCCCCCTCCTGGGTCCCTCCCCTCAGGGTCAGCAGGTGCACTCAGGGGATTACTGCCTGCTCCCTCCTTCCCAGGCCCCTGTCTCAGCTGGCCCTGCCCCAGGTGCTGGGGCTGATCCTCAACCTGCCGTCCCCCGTGTCTCTGGGCCTGCTGTCCCTGCCTCTGCGCCGGCGGCACTGGGTGGCCTTGCGCCAGGTGGACGGCATCTACTATAACCTGGACTCGAAGCTGCGGGCGCCCGAAGCCCTAGGGGACGAGGACGGTGTCAGGTAAGCCGGGACCCTGGCTGCTGGGAGGTGGACACCTCCTCGTGTTCCCCACCTCGGCCTGGAAGGGACCACGTGCCTCAGTCTCCCCGTGTTCCCTCCCTCCCTCCTGCCCAGGGCCTTCCTGGCGACTGCGCTGGCTCAGGGTCTGTGTGAGGTGCTGCTGGTAGTGACCAAAGAAGTGGAGGAACAGGGCTGCTGGCTGCGGACAGACTGACCACAGAGGAGGACCCTGGATGCCATGGGGCCAGCCTCGGCCCCCACCCCTGCCCTAACACCGCTGCTGCCTCAATAAACATGTTCATTTGCTCTCGCCTGCCTGCCTCTCACTCACACTCGGCAGCCTGGTCCTAGCCATGAACCACCACAGCTGCTTCCACAGAGGCCTCTGTTAGGCCGCGTCCACTCAGCGGCCCCGGTGCCCGCTCTCACAGTCTGCGCCAGGCCACGTATCCACCCACCTCAACGAGGGCCTCCCTCTTTTTTACTCACTCTACCCTTCCGCAGGTGATGTCCTTCTCCAGGGACTGGTCCCTCTGGACAGCACGCCCTGAGTTGTTAGGTGTCCTCTGAGCCCTGTCCTCTCCTGCACTCCCCTCATCCTTGATATGCCAGAACCCACTGCTCCGGGCGCCCTGTGGGTCCCTCTTGTGCCCCAAGCAGGTGAGGCAAAGTTTCTCCAACATGGATTTGCTGTTCTGGCTGTTGTCTGTGGGACAGTCAGTGCCTGCCACCAACACCATGATTCAGGGGCATCTGTAAGGAATGCAGACCTCGTCTATCACACGGGGTTACTCCGAGTCAGAACCACCCAGAGTCCCCCAGCAACACTGGGGAGCAAAGAGGGGCAGGGGCTGTGAACGAGGCCAAGTGAGACCCGGGGAGTCTCTGACACACAAGTATCTGTCACGGTTGTTGTTTGAGGAGGTGATGAGAGGCGGATGGGGGGCTGCTCAGGCTCAGGCAGGACCTTGTGTGAGCCGAGTTGGGGTGCAGGAGTAGGGGGAGAGGAAGGAGGCAGCCAGCAGACGGGGCAGGTCATCCCATGGCCCTGTGGGGATGGGAGGGTGGCCCCAAGGCTTCTGAAGTTGGTGACAGGGTGACAAAAACCAGATGGCTGGTAAGTGACAGGCCAGTCCAGGTTGGGCCTTGGGAGCTGGGGTTGTGGGCGGGGGTGGGGCGGGGTAAAGCAGGGTCTAGGCCTGTGGATAGGAGGAGAGTTAGGAGAGGGACATTGGGGTCACCCTAAGTTCTGGAATCTCTGAAGAAAGTGGGTTTAGGGATATTGTGCTCAGTGAGGATGTAGAAGGGGTGCCAGGCAGGGAAAGGGGGGCCCAGAAGTTGAAGTCTGCTTAGAGGCCTATCCTGGGAGAAGAGAGGAGGGAGGGAAAAGGGGCCCTGGTGAATGGGACACACACACACACACACCCAGGTCCCAGGAGAAGTGGAGGACCCTAAGGGGCTAGGAGACTGAAGAGGTGTGAGGCCAAAAGGGCCCAGGGTAGTGTCTCCCCATACTATAGGCCAGACATAGTGCATCCCCCCACTGACTCCCTAAAGACAGAACAGACCACAGGGACCAAGGACAGGGCAGGCAGCCACCATCCACACCTCTTAAAAGCCCAGCCTTTCCCAGGCAGGAAAGGCCAACAGACACACATGGTAGAGGCAGTCCCCTGGGACAAGGCACCCCAAATCCTCGGCGGCCCTTGCACCCTCTTACCCTAAACCCAAAGATACCCAGGGCCCTGCCAGGCCCTGACACCCTCTGAATTTCTCCGTTGCTCTGTCTGCCTCTCTCCTCTATGTCTGTCTTCATCTCTCTGGGTGTCCATTTCTCTATCCGCTCTGCCTCTGTCTCCCTTGTTTCTGTGTCTGTTGCTCTGCTGTCTGTCTGTCTAAACACTATCTCTCTGTGTGTATGTGTCTGTTTCTCCGTTTTTTTTTCTCTAAGTTTCTGTGTCTTGGTCGCTGTCTGTTTCTGTGTCTGACTGACTGATTGTGTGTGTGTGTGTGTGTGTGTGTGTGTGTGTGTGTGTGTGTGTGTGTGTCTTCATTTTTCGAGCTCTCTCTCAAAAACGCTGGTTGCAAAGTAGTTAAGCACCCAGCTGTCAACCTGTCTGTGGTTCAAACCCCCAGCCACTCCATGGGAGACAGCTGAGGCAACTGCTTTCCATAAACAGAAGCCCCCCGTAGGGCAGTTGGACCCCTGCCCTCCAGGGCCCCTAGGAGTTGCAGTCTCCCTCAGGGCAGTGCCCGAGGTTTTCCAGGCACCACGTCTCCCTCTCTCATCTCTCTTCCCTGTAAGTCTGTCTCTGTCTCTGTGTCCCTCTGTCCTCCCCTGTCTCCCACCTGCTCTCTTGGTGCCTCTGTCTCCCCTCCCTGGCTCCGTGCCTGTCCCTTGTCCCAGACAGCCTGGCGGGCTCCTGTGTACTTCTATTTTGAGGCTGAGTGACAGGGCTGTGACTTCTACAGGTGCCACCTCGACTCTGGCCAAATATGGTCTGGAATGGAGAGGTGGTGGGGGGAAGCTCGTGGTGGGGACTGGGCCAGGGGCCATCCCCTCAGGCACCTGCCCCCCTGCACTGACGGAGAGCTGTCCCAGTCCAGTCACCCTGACCATCTCCCAGTCCAGGGGCCCCCACTTCTCAGGGGGCTCCCCATCTCAGGGGCCTCCACATATCAGAGATTCCCACAGCCAAGGAATCTCCACTTCTCATAGGTCCCCACATCTCAAGTGTCCCCACTTCTCAGGGAAGCTACTTGCCCAAAGTGTGGGTGCCAAATAGGGATAGTCCCAGTGCTGGGGGGACAGATGAGAGACAGAGTGAGGGGGCCCCTCTGTTGTTGGGGGACACCCACAGAGGCTGGGGGCAGGGCTGCGGTCATGCGGCAGGTGTGGGAGGGGGAGTGTCCGGCAGCTGTCCTCGCGCCCCCCAGTGCAGACAGCTGAGGCCCGATTTAGCTCCTGGAGCTGGGATCTGGCCTGATAAGGCACTGGGGCAGGACGCCCCGCCCCCGGGACACCCCTTAAATCACTGGGGCAGACCCAGGGGGGTGGCCACCACGGACGCCAGGTGAGAGGGGCTGCGCTCGGCCTGGACTTCCCGGCCACCCCACTAGCAGGGGTCTCTCCTCGTCTATCTGTATCTCTGTCCCGTCTCTCTGTCCTCCTGCACCCCTTCTGCTCTCAGTCGGCTTACATCTCTGTCTCCTCTCGCCCCCCTTTCTGTCTCTCAGCTTTCTGTCTGTCTCTCTCTGCCCCCCCTTTCTCTCATCTTGGTCTCTTTCTCCCCCTCTGTCTCCCCTCCCTAACTTTCTTTTCCCCCATTTCTCTGTCTCACTCCATTTTCCATCTCTCTCCATCCATGTGTGTATGTCTCTCTGTGTGTCTCTGCATCCCCCTGTCTATCTCTTTTCATCTCTCTGTGTGTGTCTCTCTCTCTTCCTGTCTCTGTTCATCTCCCTGTCTCTCCTTCCATCTCCCAGTCGTCTCTCTCTCCCCCGTATGTGTCTCTCTCAATCTCCCTGTTGCACTCTCTGTACCTCTTGACTTCATCTGTTTTTCTTCCCATTTCTCTTTCTCCATCTCCCTGTCTTTCTTTCTCTCTACCTCTCTCCTCACCCCCTCCATTCTGCTCAGTCTCTCTCTGTCTCCCTGTCTCTCTCCCTCTGTCTCCCTGACTCTCTGTCTCTCTCCCTCTCTCTCTGTCTATCTCTCTCTCTCTGACTCCCTGTCTCTCTCTCTGTCTCCCTGTCTCTCTGCTCTCTGTATCTGTCTCTCTGTCTCTGTCTCCCTTTCTCTCTCTCCGTCTCTCTGTCTCTCTCTCTGTCCCCTTGTCTCTCTCTAACTCCCTTTTCCTCTCCCTCTCTCTCTGTCTCCCTGTCTCTCTCAGTCTCTCTCTCTGTCTCCTGTCTTTCTCGCTGTGTCTCCCTGTCTCTCTCTGACTCTGTCTCCTGTCTTTCTCTCTGTGTCCCCTTGTCTCTCTCTCTCTTTGACTCCCTGTCTCTCTCCCTCTCTCTGTCTCTCTCTCTCTGTCTCCCTGTCTCTCTCTGACTCCCTGTCTCTGACTCCCTGTCTCTCTCTGTTTCTCTCCCTCTCTCTGTCTCTGTCTCCCTGTCTCTCTCACTCTGTCTCCCTCTTTCTCTTCCTCTCTCTGACTCCCTGTCTCTTTCCCTCTGTCTCTCTGACTCCCTGTCTCTCTCTCTGTTTCCCTGTCTCTCTCTGTCCCCCTGTCTCTCTCCCTCTGTCTCCCTGTCTCTCTCC